TGATAGGTTAACAGGTCATTAATGGGATTTGGTTTGATCATCTCGAAAACCATTACTATCAAAAAAGTTGGTATTGCAAATAATAATGATATCAAAAATCGATTTCTTAAAAGTTTTTGTTCTTTCTCTGTTTTTTGGCGAATTCGATTTCCAAATTGCAAATCACTACTATTGGCTTTTAGCAATTGCGGTTCAAATCCAATATCACTAATATTTCTCATTAGATCACGTACACCAATTTTTGATTGATCATGTTTTATGGAAGCCTCGGTTGTTAATAGGTTAATATTTACTTGTGCTACACCAGGTAATTGTAAAAGAGTTGCCTCGATGGTGCCTATACATGAAGCACAGCTCATACCACTAATTAAAAATTTTGTTGTAATATTAGTAGAATCTTCTGTTGCATGATCATTATTAATAGAATTAGTAGTATTAGTAGCGTTTTTAGATTTCTCATCAACCTCAATCTCAATTTGTCCAATTTTATTCTTATTATTATTCAAATTATTATTATTGATATTGGTTTCTTCAACGTAATCTACACCGAAGCCAATTGAAGTTATAGAATCTTTGATTTGATCAATCGTTAAGCTATCATTATCAAATTCTAATGAAGCATTACCAGTTAAAAAATTTACACGAATACTAGGTTTTATGATTCCTGAAAGATTTTGTAGAGTACTTTCTATTGTACCAGAACAACTTTTACAACTCATACCAGATATTGCTAAATTAAGTTTTTTTATCATTGTTGTTGTTGGTGTTGTTGGTGTTGGTGTTGGTAAAGGAGAAGGAAAAGAAGGAATTTTTTTATTTACAAGTGGGAGACAATGATGAATATGTCAAGAGAGAAAAGACGAAGCGGTAAGGTTTGGAGGCGTTTTTTTTTTCAAAGAATTTGAAAAGTATATTTTTTAAAAAAAATGATTGTATTTAATATTTTTATTAAAGATCAAAAATCATCTTCTTGTGAGGAGTTCCTTAATATATCATTAGCAAAAATAACTCATGATCGAATCATTAAATTAAAATATTAATAAAAGAAAAGAAAAAAGACGTGCGTTTATTTTTTTAAAAAAGTCATGTGTAAAATCCTGAATTTATTGTGTTTCGATTCATACAATATTAATATATTACCAATTCCGTGGAAAAATTCACTCATAAAATTAATTCATTGTTTGTTTGTGAGCTATTTTTGCCTCAGGGAAATCCCCCCTATTAATGTCGATCAATTTTATTTTTCAACCGTCAGAAAATGATTCCGGATATGACTGACGAACAAACCCAATATCACAACGCTATTTATTTATGTATACTTTAATTGCGCTGCCTTTATGTCTTTTAAGGAAAGGACTTTTTATTATCATAAATTATTAAAATCGTACTTGATCACTAATCAGGAATATCTATCTATGTCTAATCTTGATGACGCAACTACTAGAATAATTTTCATTGAAAAAAAGCAGTAATAGTAAATATATTATCAATGTCAATGATCAATATTTCTTTATTCTCATAAATCCATAGATAATGATCTTGATAGTTTCTTTTTATGCCATGAGGCATTAAATTATTCAGGTAATTAGAAGAGGAAGAAGATGCAAAATTTCTTTGATAGTACTGTGTAGTAGACTGTGTTGTTAATGGATAGATTGGAGTTAAATTTGCATTTGTAGTCGATGTAGTGGTGGTAGAAGGAATAGTAGCATTCTTTGGTAATATTGTAGGTACATATGAACGTGTTTCTTGTATAGAGTTACTAATAGTATTGCCGGTAGTAGGAGTAGGGGTAGCATTAGTAGAAGCAGCAGCAGCAGCAACAGTAACAGCAGCAGTGGTAGAAGCAGTAGCAGTAGCAGTGTTGTTGTTGTTGTTGTCATTGTATGTTGCTGAATAATCAGTTTCTTCTGTTGTAGCACAATTTTTAGAATACTTTCCTGATTCTCCCTTGAGTTTTTTTTTAAAAACAAATTAGATTATAATGTAATATTACCAATAAAAAAATTGATAATAATGAAGATACCTCATAAATCTTTTTTAACAAATGGAAGACATCCACTGGTTTCAGTGGTATCATTCCTTTTCGTAGAGAAGTTTTTATTTCGCCAAACAATGCCTCTATATCTATATACTTAGAATAATCTTCATTCCAATTATAATAAATTCAAATTTAGCTAATGCAAAAAAGATTACAAAGACATGCAATAACATGAATATTTATTTACTAGAATCATAATCATTATCCTCTTCATTCTCTTCTCTCTTTCGTTTATTATCTCTAATATAATATTTTTAGGGATAATTAGAATTAGAACTAGAATTACAACCATTCTTTTTAAATAAACTAGAGTGACGACAAGTGGCAGGCGATAACCACCACCACCATCCTTAAAACACTTACTCATTTTCTTCTCCAAGAGCGCTTGCTTTTCTTCTTTTATTATTCTTGATTGAGTGCATTTTGAAATCCTTAAGAAATTAAAGAAAAAGAAGTTTAATGTGTACGTGTTTGTTGATCAAATCAATTATTTATCCTATTGGTTTTTTTTTGGTAGGACAGACACGAATTATTTTTTGACGGTGTCCAAGGTGACAAAACGTGAACGTTGTTGTTTGGTTTGGTTTGGGTCTCCTAAAGAAGACGTGGTAATAAATAACCAGAGGTACTATTTTTTACTTGTATTGATATATATATTTGTTGTCTTTATTGGAAATCAAAACGCGGAGCAGATCTTGCTGGGTAATTACAAGGTTTCATTGATAATATTTTGCTTTGCGTAATTGTAATAATAATATTATTATTAATGTATAATTACAAGAAGATGTCAAGGCAGCACACCATTGGAAAAGAAACATTTCGATATGCAATGTTTGATTATCAGAAATTTAGAGATGTTGAAGCACGCACGCTGCCTTGAACACATTACAGTCATTCACACATCTTCCTCGTGTACAAAGGCTAATCTGACCTCATCCCCTGATGATACAATGATGCAACAGAACTTGAGGGGAGGGGGAGCATGGCTCTGGAGTTTACTGAGACTGCATTAATCATCAATGACGCTTTCACTAACCTTCCCTCAAAGCACCAGACCAGAGAAGGCTGCTGGCATGCTGGCTGAAAAGTTGCCTGCAATGATCCTACTCTAGGGCAAGGATGGCTCTGTGACCAAGCTGTTGCAACTCTGGAGGAATATCAAGAGAATCTGCAACTTGTTCAAGCACAGGAGGTTACAATTCAGAGCAGGGTTGGTGACCCTGAAATTGCATTTGGACTCTGATGTTAAGAGGGAAGTTGTAAAATAGTGTTTGTTTTGGATAATCACTTTCATAAATGCTCTGTTTCTCTGATACTAACTAACCAATTTATGATTTTGGGTAAGAGACTGGATTGGGTTTTTGCCCAATAAGTTCTCTGTCCTGTAGGCTAAAATTATCACATGATTATATACATCCTCGTCAGCAATATGGCCGACAAGAAAAAAGCCATAAAAATGGTTCGGATTTTGGTATGTTATAAGTTACTCATTTTCCCAAATTTTCTGCTTCTCTTTAATTTTTATCTGACCAACTGAATTTGTTATTTTAGTAAATGGGGGTAGGGTTGTTGGTGAGTAGGCATGCCACTGACAAGACAGGGGACACCTTTGGGATATACCAGCCAAACTCATAGAAAGGGATCTTTTGTCCAGACTTAGGGTCACATGGATGTTAAGCACAGAAAATGTACACTATCAATGTATATTTTTTTCAACAAAATAAACATTTAAATAATTAATTGTTAAATATTAATACTTTTCTTTTCATAAAAATTACAGCAACCCAGGACTCAAAACTCTGAATTCAGGGAAAACCCAAAACAGCAATCCAGGTTGCAACCTCCCAAGTTGCTGAATTTTCAACCCAGTCTTAACACCAACTTTTATGCTAGCATGGCAATAACACATAGCAATCATCACACAAGCACCAGCTATCAGTGATCAATGCCCATATGGTGACAGCAAGCCTGGTCTTAGGGGGGAGATAATGGAAAAGTTTTGTCCAAAGCCTTCCAGCATGTATGTGGCCTCACCTGTGGAAGAAAAATCCTTAGATATGAGGCGTGTGAAAGCACCTTAATGCATGTTTGTGATAGGAAACTTTAATTAAATCTGACACCTGTGATCAACATCAGATTTATTATTCATAAGGAACCATAATTGATAATCATAAAGAATAATTTATTATTGTGAATCCCAAAGATCTGGGTAGACAGGCATTATTAAAAATTTCATTTATGCATGGCCTTGGTATCATTACTACTTGGGTGATGCAATTGTTTGTTATGCCAATGATGATATCAAATGTATTGCATAATAATCATGACCATCATGAATATTTGTTGGATGGAGGCATTCACATACAAGGAAATGAAGGAAATGATTAAATAGCTAAGTCATGTTTGTTTTATTAATGATGTATGATTAATTATATTTAAAATATACAATAAAAAAATTGCAAGACTGCATCACTGTAACAAATCTTTAATCTTTAGATTGATCGGTAAAATAATTCTAGTCGAAATTAGGTAATTAATCCATACCATATTTGGTAATGTAGAAAAATTCGTTTTGTTTAAATTCGCTATTACTAATTTGGCAATCGGGATTATTGCGTTTTACTTCGAAGAATTATGAATATTATTT